AACTGAGGTTACCATGACAACAAAGCAGATATGATCTCAGACTTAAGAATTTTCTGTAAAATGGCCCCAGGATCTTTTCTGACCTTCTTTCTACTGTAAAAAGACTTACAGTGTTTGTTGCTAAGAAATTCTATGTTTGTCTCATCTGACCGTGAAACATGGCTCCATCAAAATTCCAGAAAATCCAATGCTGTTCAGGAAACTCCACATGCTGATATTTACAGTTTGATAACAACAGAGATTTTGTTTATGCAAGCTTTGCAAAAAATGTCCGGCATGTAAGCAGCATCTAACTCCTGCAATTCTTCGATTGTGACTGTTGATAAATGAATCATATTGATTTATCAGTCTACTCAGGCTTTAGCAGAGCTCAGCAACGCTGAGATTAATAACTGATCACATTGATTTATCAGTCTACTCAGGCTTTAGCAGAGCTCAGTAACACTGAGATTAATAACTGATCACATTGATTTATCAGTCTACTCAGGCTTTAGCAGAGCTCAGTAACACTGAGGTTAATAACTGATCACATTGATTTATCAGTCTACTCAGGCTTTAGCAGAGCTCAGTAACACTGAGATTAATAACCGATCACATTGATTTATCAGTCTACTCAGGCTTTAGCAGAGCTCAGTTACACTGAGATTAATAACTGATCACATTGATTTATCAGTCTACTCAGGCTTTAGCAGAGCTCAGTTACACTGAGATTAATAACTGATCATCACATTGATTGATCAGTCTACTCAGGCTTTAGCAGAGCTCAGTAACACTGAGATTAATAACTGATCACATTGATTTATCAGTCTACTCAGACTTTAGCAGAGCTCAGTAACACTGAGATTAATAACTGATCACATTGATTTATCAGTCTACTCAGGCTTTAGCAAGGACTTTTAAACTAACAGGGACTTTTTTTAGCAGGAAATTCTGTATACATATGAATACATATTCCTTATACTGCTATTCTGTTACATCCCAATCTCGATCTTCTAGCATTAAATGTTGGATCAGCTACCTTATCTATTATTATTAGGCATGTCACAATCATTACAAAACCATCTTGTCACAATTATTTGAGCTGACCATGATTATTTGACACAGTTGATAACATTTATAATCATATATTTACATTGCAATAAATAGTTTTTTACAATAAGTTCTAAATGATGACTTGTGCTATGACCCTATAAGAGGGTAGCAGTGAGTAACGGTTGTTTATTTGAGCTTAAGCTGTGTCTGTCTTCAGTTGAGAGCTACTAATTATTGACAGCAAGGAAGCGTGACAGCTAATAAGTCAGCCAGTTTGGTCACTTTGCTTGTAATTTTATAGCTGTATGAACAACGAATAGAGACCGTATATTGCAATTATTTATATGCTGAAATTGCTGAAATGTCATACTTGTGACAGGCCAACCATGATACATACATCAATAAAACAACAAGCATTTTGACCTTGGTTGATCTCATACTTCTGCTATCCATACTGAACCTGTCACAGGGGAGACCAGTATTTTCAGATTTTTATAGCCACTGCCTGATTTATGAAGGTCAACAGCATTTCGTCTCATTTCATTTGTGTATAGGACACAATCTTTCTCATGCTGATGGATGACTAGAGGGGTTTGACCTGCATATAACTTAAAAAAATACCCCAGTGAAATATAATGGATGACCACTTGACATGAGTATGCTCAAAGAAGATGAATGGAAATGTGTGTCAATTAGATTTTTTTCCCAAGAATGTATAGGGTTGCCAATAATTATGACAGGTTTTTGGGGAAAAAAAGTCTTTTTTTGAGGATGTTTCTACAAAGGAACTGTCCCACTTTGCTGCCTTCACTTGGCCATAATATGGATTTCTAGTAAGGTAGTCATAGGCATGCAGCAACGCTCAGGATGACTCCGTGATAAGACACGATAACATAAACATGCTCGCCCTTTCCACCACAGACACATCACCTCTTGTGTCACAGCTCCCTCTGCTGTCAATGAGCTCTGGGAACATAAACATATACCAGTGCAGTGTGTTGGGGCATGACTGGGTGTGGAGAAAGTCTCCTCCAAAGAAGGCCCCCAGTTAAAAATAAATAAAAAAAAATATATTAAAATTAAAATTCATAGTTTCTTTTACCTTGTGGTTACTTTAACCTTTATCTGACTTGGATTTTACATGAAAATTCTTTAGCTTTAAGAGACCCTATGCCTTAATTATGTTTATTTTATTAAAACCAATGATTGATCACTTCATTTTGTCACTATCAAAACAATCATAACACTACTAAAACTTGACCAAATGTTTCGGGAGTGACATTTTGAGCAGAACTCCAAAACACTAGCCAGTACATGACTAGCACACACAGCTTTGAACACACATACAATCATAATATTTTTCATTAAAACACAAAAAGGGGTACTTAATTGTATAAAATACTTGTGTCAGTAGTAACAATTGTTTATGTTACACATTTATATATCGCTGTTATCAGAAAAAAAAAACTTGTATCTCCAAAATGGTAACTTTACAGGAGAAGGAAAAACCATGCTTTACTTTTAATGTAAGTCAATGGAACCAGACTTTTTCCAAGTCATTTTGGGTCGTTTCTTTTGGTCCATTCTTCATGAAATTTACAAACAATATAAAGAACAACAGGTATTTTCAAATTATGTAAAAAACTGAAAAACGACAAAAAGAGAGATACGATATTTTGATAAAAAAAAAAAATAAAAATGAGGAGCAAATGCTGCAGGCAAATATGTATGTGTATATATATATATATAGTCACACACAAACCGAACAAAAACGTTATATATAATTACTGAAAAGATTTTACTGAAACCTCACAAAAAACAGAGGATCATGAAACTAGAAATCCTACTTTAGCATCTTGTGTGACCACTTACCTGCAGCATTCGCCCCTGATTTTTTACTTTTTTTTTTATCAAACTACTGCAGTATGGCAGCCACACCAATACACACATTCACTGGACAGAAAAAAACAAGCTTTTTTGTGACCACACTGTCTACTTGCATCTACTTACAAATTTTTTTGTTACTGAACTATGTAGATAAATTCGTTTATCTGTGTAAGAAGAAAATAAAATGCAGAGGGACAGAGAAAAATAGATAAGGCAGAAATATGACAGATGGCTGTTTTGGAGGGCCAAGATCATCACCAGCTATCAGAGGTGACCAATCCTAGTCCTGTTGATCTACCACACTTCACAAATTAGCTCCAACCCTGATTTAACACACCTGATTCAGGTTGTGAAGGCCTTCAGAGGAATCTGAATATTACGGGTTAAAGCTAAACGCTCCTGGGTGGTACATCTCCACGACTAGGTATAGGCACCTCTGAGCCACATCACTGCTCTAAAAATGGCCTTTTACTGGCCTTTTACTGGCATCTGCTGGGCGTATAATAAACTGCATGACAGTTAAGACACCACTATTAGACGCACAGTAAATCTACTATTGAGACACACTGTTATTGTCTGGTTCTTTAGTAAGTCTACATTACAGAAACCAGGCCATTTCATAATTTTCATAGTTTTGGCAAGTTTTACCAACTGCTTACAATGTTTTTGATGTTTTTCACCTTAACAAGCAAAAAATATTCATTTACAGGGTCATGTGGACTTCATTTATGATCATTATTGATAATTAATAATAAAATATATGCATTGATAATTAATAATAAAATACATGGGTACAATTTATCATTTTGGATCCATAAGTGTTCTGTGCTCTGGTCCATCATCTGAATCTCCAGTCCTGGTTTACTTTTACAAACAGAGCAGTGAGTTGTCTTGAGAGCTGTAGTGTGAGTGACTGTCGTTCTGGCATACAGGGAAACTTTTATATTTATATTTTCTGGTTCTTGATGGGGCGTATGAGCATATATTTACAAATATATTTAAGAAAAAATACAGTTAATAACGTGAAACATAAAATGTTTTCTATAAAATACAATACAAAACAGTTCTGTATTGTTTTCAATTGAATACAGGTCAAACAGAATTTACTAACATTTACATTGCTTACTTTTTTATATGCATTTCACATATGATCCCATTTTTTTGGGAATTTTTTTTTAAATATATTCCACATTTGAGAGTAAGTGAAGTAAAACTACCACAATCAGAAAACAAAATGTCTTCAATGTTATGATTCAATGTTTAGATGTTGTGAGGTTTTTTTACACTCGTATTTACAGATGAAAAAAGCAGATGTGTTTTTTAAACTGGGCCCCTAAAACACAAGAATCCTAGCGAAAAGCTTGAGGAAAGTCATGCTATTAAACAGAAGCTGTAGTGAAACTGCATTTAACAGTCGGAAACAGCAGGGATTTTATGCTGGGTTACTACAGCAGTCAAAAAATGCTCTTTTCCATATGCGTGTTTTATTTACTGGTTCTTGCTCCATGCAAGGTTGCCAGATTTAGGGTTATCCCAATTTGTTTGCCAAACTGCATGGAAATGAAAAAGTCCTGGGCTACATTTTTTGGGCTACTTTCGAAACATATAGCGGCCACTGAAAAATGTTTGATACTTTGCAGACAGTAGAAAATGAAAATTAATCTTCTTTTGAATACATAATGATCCACATATTGAACAGCTGGCAAATAGAGGACACACAGACGCATGCAGTAAGAGAAGGGGCAGAAGACTATAGCCAGCTTAAGGCCATCTAAACTTCAAGGAGGGCATGCGTGCAGGTATTATCACAAAAAGTCCACACTGGAAGTATTAATTAAAACACTGCTTTTACAAAGACAATAAGAGAACACACGAGTTACAGAAGCTGACAGAAGATTTGTTAGATGTAGAGAGATTATTAAAAAATATGTAGTGCCAGCTTTAACGCACTGCCAAGTTTAATTTCTTTATATTTTGATGGTGATCACAACTGAACTGGACATAAAAGTGGAACATTATCACATGTGAATGTACCAAGGTCAATACACAAAGAAAAGAAGAGAGAGAAAGTGAACTTGTAACTAAAGAGGCTGAGGTGGTCTGTGTTCTATTAGAAAACTTTCAAACAGCGGAGCTGCTGGTCTCCACTTGTTAAGATCATTTACTTGAAGAATTTCTTCCTCTCGCTCCAGAATCTTCTTTTTCTCTGCGTAAGTCACGCTGGAGAGACACACAACATACTACCAGTAACACACTGCTGTAGTGCTGATACGAACATAGTTTATTTATTTATTAACTGTAAAAATGTAGATTGTACTGTGGAATTTTACATACAGCTCACTGGACAACAGAAGTAAGACTTAAGCTGCGCTTCAAAGACTAGGCTGCAGGCGAGGTAGTGCGGGTCCTCGGTACGACTGTCCTATGAAGCCTATAGGTCACACAAATGGATCAGTCCTAACGAGGCTGCGTGGGGACGCCACCAGAGCGGCGCCAAACTCGTGAGGGAACTGGTGAGAGAAAATGGAGCCGCTGCATTGAGTTTATTGCTTTTTCATTTCATAATGGAAATGGGGGAGATGTTCTAATGTAGTATGATAAACTACATACATACATACTCTAAACCGCTTATCCCTCTGGGTCGCGGTGGGGTGCTGGAGCCTATCCCAGCTGTCATTGGGCAGAAGGCAGGATACACCCTGGACAGGTCGCCAGTCCATCACAGGGCAGACAGACAGACATACACATTCACACTCACACCTAGGGGCAATTCAGCACGTCCAATTAGCTTAACTGCATGTTTTTGGACTGTGGGAGGAAACTGGAGTACCCAGAGGAAACCCACGCAGACACAGGGAGAACAGGCAAACTCCACACAGAAACGACCCCAGTCGGCCAGCCGGGAATCGAACCCAGGCCATTCTCGCTGTGAGGCTACAGTGCTACCCACTGCGCCACTGTGCTGCCTACATATGTACAAATACTTGTAAATAAAATACGATACACAGACAATATACAATATATAAACAAACGCTTTAATTAATCAGTCATTTCACACTTTATAAGGTAACGAAGATGAATTCAAGGACGTGAACAACTTAGATTTTAAAGCTAGCTCTGCTCCAACGGCTTTGTTTTCCCTTCCATTTTCGTGGCACTGTTTTTTTTCCTTCACGCTGTTCGTACACAGAGAACTCTGGGTAACCGAAAGCCTGGAAGGATACATCTGATGTGTCCTTGAAATCACTCGGAACGTAGGCTACATTTCTAGGCTGTATACGAAGGCCCTTCACTTTAGAACGGCCTGCTATGATGTAGCGGCTGAAAAATGCAGCATACCTCGACTGCAGCCTAGACTTGGGAACGCAGCTTTACTCTAATTATAAATGTAAGATAGCACAGAGCCATCCTAAGTAAAATGTGTTTCTTTCTTTTATCAAAGATGTATGAACATCCAAGGGATATATTTATATTTTCTGGTTCTTGATGGGGCATATGAGCATATATTTATTAAAATATTTATAAAAAATACAGTTAATAACGCGAAACATAAAATGTTTTCTATAAAATACAATACAAAACAGTTCTGTATTGTTTTCAATTGAATAGAGGTCAAACAGAATTTACTAATCATTGCTTACTTTTTTAATATGCATTTCACATACTGTCCCAATTTTTTTGGAATTGAGGTTTATTGATTTTTTTTTTTTTTAAATATATTCCACATTTGAGAGTAAGTGAAGTGAAACTACTACAATCAGAAAACAAAACGTCTTCGATGTTATGATAAATATTCATTCAGTCAGGGTTGTCTAAACCTTTGACTGGTACAGTGCAATTCATACTCAAAAACATTTTACATTTCCAACAAACCACCTTCAACACTGAGTGTGTTTACATGCACTTAATAATCTGATAACTGCAGAAAATCAGATTCTGTCAGCAATCCGATCGACGCGTTTATATGCACTTGAGTAATCAGATAATGGGAAACTCTGGGTCTACATGAGTCAGGCAGTAATCAGATTTCTGCTTTGCAACCAGCCAATAAACTCACAGAAGAAGACGTGACGTAAACGTAACGTAAAACTCAAACTTTATGCTGCGGCTTTTTTTAAAACGTCGCGCCTCTTTACCAAAAATATGAACATACTTTATTTAGAAGATGAAGAATATTTAAATCCTTCATTTCGATGAGAATGTAGTTGATTTCAGAGTTGCTCCAAAAGTGTTTTGCTGCATCTTGCGGCGACGCTGCTTGCTTATTTCCAGTACAGCAGTCTGTTTTCGTACATGCGCAGATTGAGAAATGCGAAAGAAATCAGAGTAAGAGTTTACTTGCACTGAGAATCTGATTACTGAGCTAAAATCCAGCCTCTTTATCAGATTTCTTAATCAGATTTCTAGACCAAAGTATGGTCTTTACATGACCATTTGAATAATCGGATAACTGAAGAAATCCGATTATGATCAGATTGTTGAGTGCATGTAAACACACTCGATGTTAAGGCTATCTGCTCTCTATAAACTATCAAAGACCAAATATTCCTTTTATTATTGACACAGGTGTGTGGTTGCCCTAAACTGTGACAGTATTATTAATACCTACCAGAGCTTTTCTGACAGGGGCTGGAGGGGAATGAATGTATCTGCTTTAAAGGTGGCGGGATACCTAAACACAAGATAAAAACACATACTTTAATTTAACTGCCATTAATTGCACCACAAAATCTGTGCATCATCTAATACTGAGGTCATAGATGGAATCACTGAGATCACAGGTGAGGCCTTTCTTTCTGTTTCTGCTTAGTAAACACTGCAGCAGAACCAGCGGTTTGCTCCTAAATTAAAACCCTGAATGCAGTACAGCCAGTGAAAACAATAAGAAAAGATAATAACAGAGCAAATGTAAGTTATTATCATCAGTGATTAAAATTAACACCAAAGAACCAGTAATAAACAGAGTATCTTTCACAGAACAAGGTTTTTTGATGGATGATACAAATAAACTGAAAACTACACACTCAGCTGCGACTTAATTAAGAACACCTGCACACCCACTCAGCTATGCAATTATTAAACAGCCAATCACGTGGCAGCAGTCAGGGCATAAGCAGAGCTTCCACAATGGGGTGGCCAGGTTAGACCCGGTGAATTTATTTTGGGTGGCAAAGGGAAAAAAGCAGCAGTTAATAACGTTTATCTGTGTATATGTTAGTGCTACGTTATTAATATAACAAAATTTTGTTGAATTTTCTTAACACAATTACTAAAAGACATAGCAGAGTTGATGTTTTTTATTTGTTCATGAGGAAATTAATAATAACATTTTAATAATAATAATATTTTTTTATGTATATAGCACTTTTTAAAGTGCTTTACAGACAGGTGATAAAAAACAGTTATACAAGAAATTATAAGTATTAATTTAGAATTGTCAGAAAATGACCCAGATCAGATGGAAAAAAAAAAAAGATAAATAAAAGATAAAAATGTAGAAATTTATTTAAATGCTGAGTTAAAGAGATTCGTTTTTAGATGCTTCTTAAAAGTGAGCACTGAGCTTGACTGTCTAATAAAAGGTGAACTGAGCTCCACAGTTTAGAAGCAGAATAACTGAAAGAGTCTCTCCATGTTTTCTATATTTTACAGAAGGTGTTTGTAGAAGTTCAGTATCTGCAGATCTAAGATCATGAACAGACAGATACTCTGTGATGTAAGCGGAGCTTTAAGGTCATTTTGAGCTTTAAAAACTAGTAGCAGAGCTTTAAAATCTATCCTGAATGATACAGACAGCTAGTGCAGCTCTTTTAAAGTGGGACTGATCTGATCTCTCTGTGTTGTTTTTGTAAGGATGCTGCTACGTTTTGTACAAGTTGTAAGGCACGTATTGTTTTCTTAGCAAGTCCAGTAAGAAGATCATTACAGTGATCAACTCTGCTTGTTATAAATGCATGAAGTTTTTCTGCGTCAATCTGAGAGAAAAAAGGCCAAACTTCACAAAATTTCTCCGATGACAGAAAGCACACAGTTGAAGCAACTAAATGAAATGCATCACTTTTTTCAGCGTATTAACATTCATATTTTAGGCTTTAGAAGTTGCTAATTTAGACTGCCCTCCCTAGACGTCACTCAATAGTGAACAGTCTTTGGTTGAGTGACATGCTGACCTATGTTTAGCACAAATGTATTCCATACTGGACTTACCAGAGATAAATCTAGCCTGAACACACACTTACTCAGCGGAAAAAAGATATTCAGTTATGAAAGTTAACATAATAAAATAATTATAGCTGAGTAATTCTGGATAGTTGACACATCTTACCGTAGCCTACTGCATATAATGTGGCTGATAGCGCCTGCTTTGTGCTCTGTGGATCTCAGAGTACCGAGAGTTCTGGGTAAAAGATTAATGTGGTCATAATTCTGTGTGGATTAACAACATAACTTTATTGTCCAGTTAATCGCATCTTTATGCAGTCTTTTTTCTGGGAAGGTGGGTTCTGTAAAATATTGTTTGGTTTATTTCTTATATTGATGTTGTGATCCATCTACTGCACTATATGGATGTAAATGTAATTTTCCAATAATCAAACACTTATGTTAACCTGTTTGCTGTCTCATTAAGCAAAATGGTAAACAAAACAGCATTAAGGTCTCGTTTTGTGTAACTAGGGTGGTGAAAGAGGTGGCAAAGCTTCATACAAATGGGGGACTGGCCACCTCTGGCCATCCTTTGGCTACGACCCTAGTTAGCAGCACGATGCAGAGTTGTATGCAAAAGTTTGGGCCACATCAAATTAACCCTCTACCGCATGAATTATTACTGGCACATGATAAAAATGTTTTAATGTGTTTTTGTTATTTAAATTTGCTTACATGATGGAAATGTTTGAAAAAAAAAAATATTTTTTTTAAAGTGGGGTATTTGGGAAATTGTTGCCATATGGCAACAGTGTGCGATCGTACCATAGCACCATAAAATCTAAAAAAAAAAAAAATTTTTTTTTAAATGAAATTTTTCTCTAAAAACGTAATTTTATTGAAAACAAGACCAAACAAATCCAACTTATGCTTAGTGAAATATACGACCCAATATTTACAAATACTGGAAATTAATACAATTTCAATTGGTATTTGGAACGTATGGTAATAACAACATCATAATAAGAATTCCTGGTCATGTGATGTCTTAAAGTATTTGTCCTTTAAAGGAAAAGACCCTTTTTCCACAATTAAATGGGAAAACACAGACTTAATATTACTGCCTTTCAGTAAAATTCAGATAAAGTAATTGTCATATGGCAACACTATGCAATAGAGGGTTAATTTAAAAAAGAATAAATTACTGCAAAAGTTTGGACACTTTTCCTGTTGTAAAGTCTTAACATTTAATCAACTTACTGACATAAACAATGCAACAAAAGACACTGAACATTTCCTCTTCATTATACGTACTACGAACTTACACATTATCACGAACTCGTACACTTCATTACAGCAGGACAATAATCCAAAACATTCTTAAAAATCTGCTATGAACTACTTCAAGAGAAACAAGCTGAGACATTTAGAATGGTCGTCACAGTCCTCCAACTTGAACGTCACTGAAAATCTATGGGTAGATCTTAAACACACGGTACATCCAGAGAATATATCACAGAACTAGAAGCAATCTGCGAGGAACTGTGGGTGGAAGTTCTTTAAATAAAAGTCGGAAAAGTCCTAGTTGGCTATTAAAAGCAATTGTAAGCTGTGGTATCTGTAAACAGGGGTATTACTAAGTGCTGACTCAGTAGGGTGTCCAAACTTTTGCACATGCCACAGTTACTATTTAATTTTTTTCCATTTTTTGCATTAAATACTATTGCCATAAAAATGTTATTTTCTTTAAAGTTTGCTGCAGAAGTTGTGTTTAGTTCACTTTAAAAATCAAAAAATATTTATATAATTTGACAAAGGGTTTCCAAACTTTGCAAACCACTGCAAAACATTGCAGTAACAGGTCAAGAGCTGCCAATAATGTTCACTTCAAACATCAGAAAGGAGAAATATGAGATCTTAGTGCCTATAGTTTACAAAGAATGATGTAAACATCAGGTGAGCAGCAGTTCTGTGTGCAGAAATGTTGACTGAGAGGTCAGAAGAGAAAGGCCAGACTTACAGCCAGGCAAAACTAGCTTTCATAACCACTCGTTACTACAGTGGTGATCAGAAAAGCATCTCTGAATGCACAACACATAGAACCTTGAGGTGGATGGGCTACAATGGCAGAAGACCACATGGGTTCTGCTTCCATCAGCCAAGAACAAGAATCTGAGGCTACAGCGAGTACAGACTCACAGAATAATTGACAGTTGAGGATTGGAAAAAAGTCTGGTGAATCTCTTCGTTTCTGCAGTGACATGCAGATGGTAGGTAACAAGTAATCTCAACCATGACAAAGAGTTTGGTATAGTACAACGGCCTCCCCAGTCACAAGATCTGAATGTAGTGAAGCACCCTGGGGATTTTGTAGATTGGAATGGGAGATTTGCAGTATGGATGTGCAGCTGACAAATCTTCAGCAATTCCTAATTAAGTGGCCAGGAAATATATATTGGTAGTATGTACTGTGTATATGTATGTGTATAGACATATATATACACACACACACACCGATCAGGCATAACATTATGACCACCTCCTTGTTTCTACGCTCATTGTCCACTTTATCAGCTCCACTTACTATATAGGTGCCCTTTGTAGTTCTACAGTTACAGACTGTAGTCCATCTGTTTCTCTGATACTTTGTTAGCCCCCTTTTACCCTGTTCTTCAGTGGTCAGGACCCCCATGGACCCTCACAGAGCAGGTACTATTTGGGTGGTGGATCATTCTCAGCACTGCAGTAACACTGATGTGGTGGTGGTGTGTTAGTGTGTGCTGTGCTGCCATGAGTGGATCAGACACAGCAGTGCTGCTGGAGTTTTTAAACACTGTGTCCACTCACTGTCCACTATATTAGACACTCCTACTTTGTCAGTCCACCTTGTAGATGTAAAGTCAGAGACGATAGCTCATCTGCTGCTGCACAGTTTGTGTTGGTCATCCTCTAGTCCTTCATCAGTGGTCACAGGACGCTGTTGGTTGGATATTTTTGGTTGGTGGACTATTCTCAGTCCAGCAGTGACACTGAGGTGTTTAAAAACTCCAGCAGCACTGCTGTGTCTGATCCACTCAGACCAGCGCAACACACACTAACACACCACCACCACGTCAGTGTTACTGCAGTGCTGAGAATGATTCACCACCCAAATAGTACCTGTGAGGGTCCATGGGGGTATATATTTTAAGGCAATAAGCCACGAGAGGCCATGGGTTACAGTGATTTTATCATGGGCAAGGGTTGTTTTTTGGCATGACGTGAAGCGTATACATACATATATATATATATATATATATATACAATATATGACACTTACCCAAAATTAGATTTTGGTAATGTTGATCCAAGCTTGTGAAAGTTAGGGCTGTACTCTGGTACTAGATAAGTCCTGGAATCTGCTGCATAGCCAAAGCCAGGTTCCACTAATAAATACAAATAGAAAGACAAACGTTTCAACACAAATATCATTATAGTTAACACTTTCCAAAATCTGCAATTTGCACTGTGTACTTACAAATAAAAAACAGAACTAAAAATCTTACCCTTTCTTTTCCTCCCTATGGTTGACTCTAGAGTCTGTTCTGAGGTGCATCTCTTGGATCCGTGACGAACTGCATCTATAAAACACCGCTTTCCAGCATGGAAGGTCACAGGCTGACCAAAGTTTGGGTAAAAGGTCCACTCAGACTGGGACACCATATTGGCCTCTAAATATAAGTGGCAGTGGTAGTTGTTAATTTTCCACTTGTTGCAGTGTTTGTCTTTTCTTGCTGGCCTCTTATGACAAATCTCAATGATTGTCTTACATCATAAAGCATTGAAAATGTCTCATAATGAGGCTGAATCGTTATTCAGAATCATGTGGATTTAGTTTAAAACCGCTAGAAGACGATCTGAATACAGCACAAAGGACTGTGAATGAAAATAGGCTTCCTTTTTTCACTCAATTTAAATTTATTTCAATTTATTTCAACAAATATTTACATAGATGCTCCTTAAAACAAGTACACAGAACAGAGGAACTGAAAGCAGCATGATTTCCATTTCTTCTGATTAAATTTAAATTGTGTTTGAATCGTTTAATTAATTTAGTTGTTAGTTTAAAGCAGTACATCAATACATATCTAATTATTTAGTTCTAAACTGGCCTGGAATGAAATGAAATACACTCACTGGGCACCTTACTAGGTAAACCTACCTTATATCTACTCCTATTGTCCATTTTATCAGGTTCATTTACCATATAGGTATGTTCTGTATGTTTGTTAGCCCCCATTTATCTCAGTTCATCAGTGGTCAGGACCCCCATGGATCCTCACAGAGCAGGTACTATTTGGGTGGTGGATCATTCTCAGCACTGCAGTAACACTGACGTGGTGGTGGTGTGTTAGTGTGTGTTGTGCTGGTATGAGTGGATCAGACACAGCAGTGCTGCTGGAGTTTTTAAACACCTCAGTGTCACTGCTGGACTGAGAATAGTCCACCAACCAAAAATATCCAGCCAACAGCATCCTGTGACCACTGATGAAGGACTAGAGAATGACCAACACAAACCGTGCAAACTGTTGAATAGAGTGGACAATAGGTGGACACACACTAACATGTCACTGCCACTTCACTGCCACTTCAGTGCCACTGCAGTGCTGAGAATGATTCACCACCCAAATAATACCTCCTCAGTGGTGGTCCTGTCTTGGTCCTGACCATTGATAATGGGGCAGAGAAACAGATGGACAACAGTCTGCAATGGTAGAATTACAAAATGCACCTATAGGGGAAGTGGAGCTGATAAAATGAACTGAAGATACAGGGGGGTACCTAATAAAGTGGCCACTGAGTTTTAGCCCCTTTTGGTTGAACACACTGCTGGAATGAATTAACTTTATTAGCTATCAATAAAGAACAAGCCAGATATGTTACACTATTACATATTTACTAGGGATTGCACTAATGCAGGAATTTTGTGCTCGTGTGAATATACGATATATTTCATGTACATGTCTGCGATGCCGATACATAAACATTTATAAAATGTAGAAATCTAAAAATTAGAAAAAGTACCTAGATCTACCTGGATTAGCATGACAGAGAAATGTAACATGTAGCATCACCTAGGCCAGGGGTCGGCAACCCAAATGTTTAGAAGAGCCATTTTGTCCTTTCAACAAAAATCAAACCACTTTGGGAGCCACAACAATTTATGTCCATTTTACCATCTTGGCTGTAAATATGTCTCAGTATGTGCTGATGCACTAGTAGAGGCTAAAAACAAAATATAAAAGAAAACACAGACTTACTTCGCTCTGCTTTAAGCTTTAGCTCAGCTATAGCTGCTTTTCTCACATCTCCAGCAGGAAACTTTTCCTCAAAAGGTAAATAATATCTTGTAAAATGTCTCTCACTGTCGTCTTTTTATGAGGCTGAAGTCGCTCCTCATTAACCAGCTTCTTGTTTGAAATTTTCCCGTTCCACCTTAAATGTAACACATTGTAACTGCTGCACCATTTAAGGTGGAATGTGAAAAATCGAAAAAGAAGCTGGCAAACAAGAAGCCGACTTGAGAAGAAGCATGACTTTTAGTGTTTGGTAGTTTCTCGCTGCAGACTAAACGTATCAGGAAACCAGCTGGAGTGATTATGAATGTAAATAAGTCCACTTATCTCCAAATTATCGTTGTTCGTCTTCAATCTTCCTCTTTTCTCTTCGTTAGCTACTAGCTAGGCGATACTGTTGTATGTGTTGCTATGGTGACCAGCAGTCTGCGCTGATCTTCAGGGTTAAAGGGTGAATTAGCAGTTCTACATTAACTCCAACATTTAAGACCATTTATTGTTAGACTGTGTTGAACAATCAGCAGAGCTTTATTTTACTGTAAAGGAGGATTATTTTATTTTTACCTACAAATCTAATCCTGCTGTGGAGCCTCAACAGGGCGGTCGCATGTTGCCAACCCCGGACCTAAGCAGTCTGCTCTTCCAGAGCACAATAAATACAGTTTGAAGTATTAGACAAATCTACACATCTGTCCAATGCTGATATTTTTAAGGCAAATGTCTGCCAATTCCAATATGATTCAAACATCATCGTGCTTCCCTCACACCCATTAAAGCTGTACTCACGTGGGAAGGACCTCATCAGTTGGATTTGACTGGGGAATTTAATATCTTTAATTTGAGGAAAAGGGGCATCGCTGTAGCGAGGTTCAGGAATCCAACGCAAACGAGATTTCCAGTCAAGGCCACACCTGTATGATAAAGGCAAATTCAGAATTCATGAGAAGTGTGAGCCTCAGCCAGCGCTAAACACATGTTTAATCCTTGTGTGGTGTTGATGTGTTTGGTACTCAGTGGTCTGGTGGACCCAACACATTATTGTTATTAAAATCAATACAGCCATAACAATTTATGTAAAAATACCAGATGTTTAAAATATCACAAGTGTCCAGCGTAGGGTTCTCCTTTAGCAGCTGTAGCCAGTCAGCAGCCTGTCCATGTTGTCCACCCTCACACACACACACACACACTAACAGCAGACCATGTAGGAGGAGAACAGAGTGAAGGACACGGCACCTCCACACTTTTATTCCCCGCAGGTTCACCCAACACCACATGTGTAATATAAATGTGTGGGGGGTGAACAGAGTGAAGACACTGAAAATGGGTTATTATATATGTTCTTCACAGAAAATGAGCAAAGGACAAGAATCTGAGGTTGAAAAAATAATAAATTACATCATTTTTTCTTTTGGTAAACATTAACCCACAGACCTGAACACCACACAAGGAGTTAATACTTTTACCAAGTAAGTAACTTCAATGACTCTGCTGAGCAAAGTAAACAAATCCATAATTAACTGATATATGATTTTAAAGTCAAAACTGTTCAATAACTGTCTGGAACCAATGTAAAGACCACAAAACTACAGATGCATTGAGGCAGACAAAGTTGGTTTACCAACAGAGCAAAATGGAATTAAACACCAAAAGGAATTAATAACTAATGTAACATACATAGATTCAGTTTCTCACAAATATATTCACGTGTTCAGGTTTTATCATTGGGAAATACTTTCACTGAAGTTTTATTAAGGGCACAATGTCTCGGACATTAGCCTAATAACTACTGTCCACCTCTGCACAAATCAGACTGTTAGAACCAACTCGGACATGAAACCAATACAGCGGCTGCTCCAGATGTTACTGTCATCTTTACTGAGTATCATTCATTTGCATCAGTTTTACTGAGGATATCTTTGATGGTTAAAGGAAAACTCCACCAATTTGTCAAAATGTCTGCATATTCAGTGGTCAAGATGTAAACAAAGTCATTCCGAGTGGTGTGTTGTGAAATGGTTCATTGTAGAGAAACTTATAGACTCAGGTGTCTTTACAGTGGTGGTGATAGGAACCAGGGGTCACCATGTCTACAACACAAATATAGCCATTTTATCTACTATCCAAATCCACCAGTGAACCTACACGAGTCTTTTGAGTTTTATATGTAATGCTGATGATGGTAAAACAGCTAAATCTTAAAAATTAAATTTCTTTGGGAACTATTTTACATATCGCTGCTGTCGGAACAAAACCTCGTATCTCTAAAATGGTAACTTTACAGGAGAAGGAAAAACATACTTTACTTTTAATGTAAGTCAATGGAACCAGACTTTTTTCCACGTCATTTTCGACTGTTTCTTTTGGTCCATTCATCATGAAATTTACACACAATGTAAAGGGTAACAGGCATTTTCAAATTATGTCAAAACACTGAAAAACAACAAAAATGGAGATGTCCCTATAGCAGCGATGTGTGTCATGTATCCCTCCATCTTGAACAGATCAAAATAAATTGATCGCAATACGTTTTAAGCCAAAACTTTAGAACAAAACTACCATAAAACCAGAGATCGGGCTTTGTATTCATAACCATTTCAGACGTAATAACTTTCTGTGAAGGAGCTTTTAGAGATACTAAACTCTTAGACGTCTGGTTCCCATCACCACCACTGTAAACAATTCTGACTGCGAGTTTCTCCAGGACTAAGCATTTCACACCCAACAACCCTGAATGACTTTGTTTACATCTCAACCATTTAATCTTTTCAACTCCTTGAGACCACCGGTGGTCCCAAAACGCACTTCATCATATTTTTCATAACTTTCATATTTCATAAGCTACATTCAAAAGGTGGGTGTCATATGAATGTCTACTGAAAGTCGACCCATTTTTCCACAAATCTGGGCTATAAACTATAAACAGATGGCGTCTCTTCAGTGATCTGCTCTGTAAAAATTATTTTTAGAAAATAATACAAAGCGTCTAAGATTTTTGGCTTTCAGCAGTAAAAAAAAAAAACAAAAAACAAAACATACCCTGGTCAACAAATTTTGATATATTGGTGGAGTTCCCCTGTTCAGTACTTCAGTACTTACTCAGTTAGAACAGGCTCCGTGTGTCTGATATGAGGTCTGAACTCTCTCTCCTTTTCCTGAATGTGAGGAAAGTAACTAGCAGCCATCACTACACTGAGCTGGAACAGAGCGGCGGCTCCAGACTTTATGAGCTAATTAGACTAACAAAAGGTCTGCCTGGAAGAATAGTCGGCTCTTGGGAAACGGGTACACACACAGCTGACAGGTTTTCTCGGTCTGACCTGACAGACGGTCATTTAACCCCTGAAGCTCCTTCTGTATAGAGACAGAGCGCTTTGTTCACTTAAAAGAAAACAACGTAGCAACGTGACATTACAAAGGCCGGCCGCAAGATGGCGCCAAAAACTAGCTCAGCTCAAGCAGCCTCTCAGGTGAAGTTGTAGACCAAAACTAAACAGAAGGAAGTTTTTTATCGAGCATTTCTCCTTTCTACATTTAATTACAACTTAAAGGTTCACATTTTAATATGAATACGAATATTAATGACTGAAAATACTTCTGTCAGCATATATATAGATCTTGTATCCTCAACATAATAGCAAAATAATGACTGACAGGCCCCTCAGCCAATCACAGTCCTCTCTAAGCAAACCTTTCATCCAATCAAACCAATAAAAACCTCGACTCAATTCTTCAGAATGGCTGTACATATAATTCAGATTAATTCATGTGGAGGTGGAGCTGTTTTTCATTCCTGAAGCTGAAAACAGTTTTAGGTTAAACTAGATAGAAGGCCACACTCACAGCCCAGCATCAAAACTAAGATGAACTAAACTTTATCTAGGCTACTGTATTGGCTAACACATCATGGAGTGTTTCACAAAGCAGGATTCCTCAGTTTAGCCAGATAATTTAAGCCCAAAGTCAAGCCTGTCCAATAGGAAAAGAGCTGAGGGATATTGCTATTGGACAGTCCTCATCTTTGGGCTTAAATTGCCTGGCTAAACGGAGAAATCCTGCTTTGTGAAACACCCCCAACAGTCAAATGTCAGGACCGCTTTTCTAGTGTTCTTTAGCTTTAGCATTAGCTCATCTGAAGGGGCAGCTGCAGTCCCTGAGATCCTTACCAGACATTAAACGTTAAACCTTTCATTCTTCTGCTCACTGATTTCTTTTGTCCCTGCCTCGGTAAAGGGACCTTAGGTTTGTAAAAGGCACGATATAAGTTGAACTTATAATTTATACTAATAAGCATATTAAAAAAGCAACAGCTTTTCATTTAACGTTGGTCACTCTACACACAAACCAAAGATGAAGTCCATTCACTGCAGCATTTAAAAAGTACAAGACAGCCACATTTACCAGAACAGTTCATTAAGTTAATACCTTGAACTCCATTCAATTGACCCATGAGCCAAAAAATGTAACGCAGTGAAGGACAGTCTGACTGATATGAAATTTGTTTATGCTGCTGCTTTTTCCTATCCTGAATCAGATTCTATTAGATCTATTAAAATGTGTCTAATTGAAGTTACACATGGATTTGAAAGCCTTGAAATTTTTAAATCATGATTAAACTTCATTTAAGCAATAGAAGACGAGAGGGAGCGTGTTATCGCGAAATAACATCACGGCTGTGATTTGGTCACCGTAGATCATCACAGCTGTGATGTTATTGGCGATAACACACTCCTCGAGTGTTCTATAGCTTTTATACAACAGTTAATAAATAAAGTAATAAATTAATAAACTGGGTCGTGAACGCGGCGTTTAATATGTTTTAATGTTCGCAGTTCCTTCACCAAATTATAGTTCCTTAACAAGCAGCTTGTTGATACGTCAGAGTAACGAACTCCGCCCACTCGCTGCACAGCCGGCAGTTCGTTCTCCAGCTCCTCACACTAAATTCCCAAACTGTCATCACCACTGAGCAGCTTTTCAGTCGGCAGCTGTGACAGAAAAACACAGAAATGAACCCAATACCATTCGCCAGATGTGTAGTCTGATCTTCAGAGTCTGACCAAATCAGGCTGAGGCATAAAACTGCCGACTGAAAAGCTGCTCAGTGGTGATGACAGTTTGGGAATTTAGTGTCGTCTCATCTTCAGAGTCTGACCAAATCGGCTGTCGGTCAAATGTGATCTTAAAAGTATCCATTTTCTGTTTGTGGCAAATTAAGAAGTAAAAACTTTCAAATGTCTTGAGCGTCTCCTACAGCTGTCAAAGTCGTCGCTTAGCAACGGCGTTTTAACAGAGTGATACAGTGTTTGTGAAAAACCTGTGATGTTATGGTGAAATAACAGCACGGTTAGAACGCTTCTCAACCAATCAGCTTGCGTGGCCGGAACTAACTGCTGTATAAATGTGTGTACAAACCTTTACTGACATGTACCCAAGAAGGCGGGGCACCTTGGACCCCGCAAATTGCCACTTACGGCTATATTTGTTATTATTATTATTATTATTATTATTATTATTATTAAAATATATTTAATATATTTATTATTTAAATATATATCACATATAACATTTTCTTGAAATAGCAAGATAACTAACTCGTAATTTCAAGATAACAACTGTTATCTCGGGATAAGATAATTAACTCGTAATTTCAAGATAACAACTTTTGTTATCTTGAAATAACAAGATAACTAACTTGTAATTTCAAGATAACTTTATCTCAAAATAACTAACTTGTTATTTCAAGATTACTTTATTATCTCGAGATAACAAGATAACAACTTGAAAATCTGGAAAATTATAACTACCTTATGGCCTCTTGGGTATGTAAGTCTGGAGAGGCCATGAGCTGTTGCTATAATTTTCTGGATTGTTATTTTGAGATAACAAGATAACTAACACATTATCTCAAGATAACAGTTTTGTTATCTTGAGGTAACAAGATAAGTAACTTGTTAATTCAAGATAACAATTTTGTTATCTTGAAATAACAAGACGAATTACTCATTATCTCAAGATAACAATCCAGAAAAAAATTATAACTACCTGGTTACCTTAAGACACCAACTTTTGTTGTCTTGAGATGACAAGATAACTTGTTATTTCAGGAAAACAAGATAATTAACTCGTGCCTTTGAGGGAACATTTACTTGGTTGTACCTTAATGAACGAAAAATGTACCTGCACAGAACCTTTACAGAGTCGGCAATAGGAGAGAGAGAGAGAGAGAGAGAGAGAGAGAGAGAGACCGAGAGTGAGAGAGAGAGAGAGAGAGAGAGAGAGAGAGAGAGACAGAAAGACTGAGAGAGAGAGAGACCGAGAGAGAGAGACCGAGAGAGAGAGAGAGAGAGAGAGAGAGAGAGAGAGAGACCGAGAGTGAGAGAGAGAGAGAGAGAGCTCTTTAAATCCACCTGTTAGCCAGTCACAGCCTGTGCCTTCCCCGTGTCTGGAGAGGAGCTGTGGTGTTGGAGCTCTCTGCGCGCCATGGACTCTCAGCGTGTCCCGGCTCCACAGCACCTCACCGCCTGACCAGCCGCCGGACACGCGCGACTCGCTCTACCTGAGGGACATTTGTGTTGATGTCCTTCTGCTCTCGCGAGCTCCTGATCGCAGGACGGACTTCTCAGCGTAGTTTGGCGTTCTCCGTTATGGCCAGCCGCCGGCAGCCCACTCGTCTGAAGGCTCAGTAGCGTCCAGTCGGGAGAGCGCGCAGTGGCCAGACGTTTGGAGGAAGATGCTCGCGTGCTCTGCGGCTTCTCGCAGCGTGTAACCGCTCTCTGAACCCAGACCGACCCTCAGACGCCTCGGCGCCGCATTAACTCCTCTTCTGGACCAGATCAGTCGAGCGTGCTCGGTCAATTATGTTCACTTTCGCTGCCTTCTGCTACATGCTGTCCCTCGTGCTCTGCGCGTCCCTGATCTTCTTCGCTATCTGGCATGTAAGTGTCCGCGTCTGTCATGTGCATCTTGTAGTTTTACTGCTTGGGGGGCGGGTGGCGGGGGGGGGCGGTTGCTGCAGCAGACGTTCACCTGTGTAGTAATACCTGTGCAGCTGTTGGGCTGCTGGTCAGTATATTCCCTGCAAAATCTGTGCTCAGTAGAGGCTCAAAGGGCTTCATATCTCAGTTCATACCTCGGGCTGTGATATGTCCATCTATAGGGAATCTATAGCCTTATAGATCCATTGACCTCATTTAATCAGCCCTGTAAGGATTCAAGAGGATGTCCTGACATGTGAAGTCTTGTCTGAGCCCACTGCATAGCTGCAAGCAGTATAAGCAGACCCCCAAACCACCAAGGGTCTCTGAGTATGTACTTTTTTAATGTATTCAATGTCATTTGTGAAAAAAGCACAAAGTTCAAAGATTTCAAAACGTATTGTGTCGTATTTTTTCTCATCCTGCATGCAAAAGAGCATGATTAGGGTGGGAAGGGAGCCCCCCCCCCACCCCCACCCCGTTAGACGCTGCTTAGAGCTCCCTAATGTTCAGAAAGACCCTAACTGAAAGGATAAAGCTGTTTGCTGTACCCTATTTTCTGTACCTGATCCACTTCTGCCAACAAAATGAATGTGATCAGCCAGACATGCCTGAAGATTTCTTTGAAGGTTACAGCGAGACCCATGAGGCACTTGACAAGGGTTGAAGGAGGACCTCAACGGCCACTTTCTCATGCACAGATTTAGCGCCGGACTAATGCGTGCTACAAATGGGGATTTCCCCAGTGAAAATGCTTTCGAGGCCAGGACTGGACTTCCTCAGCGTCTAGAAAACCAGGCCTCAAAGTGTCGGGCCATGGTCATCTTTTTTCCCGTGAAGAAATTAGGCTCATCCTCTTTTGAATTTGCTCTGCTAAAGCAGTTTTGGGCACATTTGCATCATATGGTCAGCTAATTTAAGGACAGTTAACTCCGTACAATCCAGGCTTATTATTCGGTTATTAAGTTACCCTTATTAGTTCCACAGCAGGGAAATTTCACCTCCGCATTTGAACTCATCCGTGCAGTGAAACATCCACATACACACACACACTAGGGGGCAGTGAGCACACTTGCCCGGAGCAGTGGGCAGCCCTATCCACAGCACCTGGGGAGCAGTTGGGGGTTAGGTGCCTTGCTCAAGGGCACTTCAGTCACATACTGTCGGCTCAGACGATCGAACTGGCGACCTTCCGGTCACAAGGCTGGTTCCCTAACCTCGTAATTACATTGTTGAGGTGTAAACAAAGTCATTCAGAGTGGTTTGAAGTGAAATGGGTCATTGTAGAGAAACATACTGACTCAGATTCACAGTGGTGGTGATACGAACCAGGTGTCGTAACATCTACAGTGCACATATAGGTTTCTTGGCTATCCAAAACAACCTGTGAACCTTCAATTGACTTCTAAGTTTGTAATATATGCAATATTAATAATAGTAAAATTGTTGTAAATGTTTTCTTTGGTAACTATTACATTTTAGGCCAAAACATTTTCTGAAAGATAATATAAAACAATGTTTCAGCCATGAGGCAGCGTATTCATAACACTTGTTATGTAACAGGTTTATGTGAGGTTGCTTTTAGAGGGATAAACCCTTGTGTGGTGTTGATGTTGTTGTTACTCAGTGGTCTGGTGGACCCACCACATTATTGTTTTTTAAATCAATACAGCCGTAACAGTTTATGGAAAAATACCAGATGTTTAAAATATCACAGGTGTCCAGCGTAGGGTTCTCCTTTAGCAGCTGTAGCCAGTCAGCAGCCTATCCATGTTGTCCACCCTCACACACACATATAAAACACACACACACACACACACACTAACAGCAGGCCATGTAGGAGGAGAACAGAGTGAAGGACACAGCACCTCCACACTTTTACTCCCCGCAGGTTCACCCAACACCACATGTGTAATATGAATGTGTGGGGGGGGGTGAACAGAGTGAAGACACTGAAAATGGGTTATTTTCTATGTTCTTCACAGAAAATGAGCAAAGGACAAGAATCTGGGGTTGAAATAATAATAAATCGCTTCATTTTTCTCTTTTGTTAAACATTGAAAATGGGTCCCACAACCCCAACACCACACAAGGGTTAAAAGCTTTGGACGTCTGGTTCCTATCACCACCATTGCAAGCAATTTTGACTCGGTAGGTTTCTCTAGAATGGCGCATTACACATCAAACCGCTCAAAATGACCTTGTTTACATCTTAACAGTTTAATTATGCAGAAACTTAAAAAAATAGGTGGAAGGTTTATTATTCCGTTATTAACCATAAGACTTATTTTTCAGTTATTAACTTCAAGCCTTATTATTCAGTATGAATAATTCAGCAACTACTGTGGAAGTAATGTGAAAGTCACACAGTTAAGAGAGGAAAGTAAGGATTTCTGGGACAGTCAGTGGATCCTTGAAGATAAGTGCATTTTAAAAAGAGCTTTTCTTCCTCATTCACTCATTTTTTTTTTTTTTTTCCAAGACTGCACTAGCACATTTGAGTCAGCCTGCCGAGTCGTTCGCCCTGCGTTCCCCTTCGCGTAGCAACCGACACAATAGATCAAAGTGTTAAAGGATGGGGGGGTAATTATCATCATGTCGCTTCTCTGACCCAGTGTTTGCGAGATGAGCCCATTGTGTGGAGGCTAACTCCATTTCTGAGAGCCTGTGGAGACGCTGGAGTGTTTCATACACTGAGCCACCCTGACAGAGGTTCATTTACTTGTCGTTCAGTGCGCAGATCTGAAGGAAATGCCGCCCTCAGCGTTTTCTCGTCTGCTCGTAATATGAAAATCCTGGGTCCTTAGCGTATCACAGAACTCAGTGATTAAAAAACATCTCCAGTCTTTGTACTTTATTTAGCTAATGATGCTCCAGTAAGCTGTTATATATGAGCTTATAATGTGGTTATCATATATGATCTTATAAACACAGTGTGCGGTAGAGCGGTACTCTGCGTGCCCTTTTGACTCCACTGAAACTGATAATTAACTTGTGGGATGTAATACACACCGATCAGGCATAACATTATGACCTCCTCCTTGTTTCATTTTATCAGCTCCACTTACTATATAGGTGCACTTTGTAGTTCTACAGTTACAGACTGTAGTCCATCTGTTTCTCTGCATACTTTGTTAGCCCCCTTTTACCCTGTTCTTCAGTGGCCAGGACCACCATGGACCCTCACAGAGCAGGTACTATTTGGGTGGTGGATCATTCTCAGCACTGCAGTAACACTGACGTGGTGGTGGTGTGTTAGTGTGTGTTGTGCTGGTCTGAGTGGATCAGACACAGCAGTGCTGCTGGAGTTTTTAAACACTGTGTCCACTCACTGTCCACTCTATTAGACACTCCTACCTTGTCAGTCCACCTTGTAGATGTAAAGTCAGAGACGATAGCTCATCTGCTGATGCACAGTTAGTGTTGGTCATCCTCTAGTCCTTCATCAGTGGTCACAGGACACTGTTGGCTGGATATGTTTGGTTGGTGGACTATTCTCAGTCCAGCAGTGACACTGAGGTGTTTAAAAACTCCAGCAGCACTGCTGTGTCTGATCCACTCAGAGCAGCACAACACACACTAACACACCACCACCACATCAGTGTTACTGCAGTGCTGAGAATGATCCACCACCCAAATAGTACCTGCTCTGTGAGGGTCCATGGGGGTCCTGACCACTGAAGAACAGGGTAAAAGGGGGCTAACAAAGTATCAGAGAAACAGATGGACTACAGTCTGTAACTGTAGAACTACAAAGTGCACCTATATAGTAAGTGGAGCTGATAAAATGGACAATGAGCGGTGGTCATTATGTTATGCCTGATCGGTGTAATAACATGCTTTGAATAGCAATGAGTATCATAGTCTTATATTAAATAAGGAGGCTGGTAAATTATAGATGGCCAGACGGTGCTTAGTGTTAAATGACAGCGATATAGTTTTAATGATTTAGTGCCTTGTAACTACAAAGAGGCCCATAAAAACTGTATAATGTAGTTCCAAATTGACAGACACAGCTCATTAAAACTCTCCCTCTCGCTTAACAGTATATGTAGTGTATGTCTTTAGTGCACTGTATACATAATCATCGTCCTAAAGGAAAGTCTCTGAAAACACAGAGGGATATTTTCCATATTTGTTCTTTTATTCTAAACGTAACATTCACTGTATCCGATACATACGATGCTATGCACATCAGAGGCCGTCATTCATTTCTTTCATCTCCAGTCAAAATATTTATTCAGAACAAATTATTATTTTTTAGCTTGAGGAAAAAGAAGAAAACATCCAGAATGGGGCGAAAGTCTTAGGCACCTATACACAGTGAAGTCATTTATCCTGGCAATATGTGTATCTGTAAAAACACCATACACCTTTAAATTAAATGATGATAAATATAATTACAGTAAAAAGGGACAATAATTCATTTTTTTTATGTTGTGAGTTAGTCTGAATAAAAGTTTAGGTCCAGACGTCTCAGCAATGCCCTCAGCCATCTCATAGATTTCTTAAATTCTATTTAACATTTAACATAATGAGGTATTGATTAGATAAACCAGGTGTTGGATGACTACTAGAAGTAATACTGGGCTGCAATGAGTATGGATTTGGAAATGGATTAACAAACGCACTGACATATGGAAAATCACAACTTATTGAGTTAGTTATTTGTTTTTATTATAATATTTTATTTTAATCTTACTGCCCAGATAAATATATTTTAATGCAGTTTTCTTAGGTGCCTAAAATGTTTATAACATATATTTAACAGAAAATTACACAGACGTCTCAGTAACTAATTGTTACTGACATCACTTTTAGATTTTAAAGAAATCTGCAGGGAACATTTTCCACACCTCCAAAGTTCAGTTTTACAATCTGGATGCATTTTCTACTACTCAGAATCACAGTAACCCCGAACACATTCAGTGATGTTGAGGTCTGGACTCTGGGGGGGTCAG